TTTTTTAATATTTTATATAAAAGTTTTTTATAATGGTGGGGCCACTGCGGCCTCTGCCTCTGCCTCTTCCGCGGCCGCGGCCGCCTCCAGGGCCGCCTCTATCAGCCCGGCCACCTCCAGGGCCGCCTCTACCGGCCCGGCCGCCACGTACGCCCCATCCTCTGCCCCCTTGCTGGTTGTACCAGTGAGCTCGCAATTTACCGCTACCTCTTTTTTTTTGTCTGAAAAATAAACATGTTCATTGATAAATAATAAATAAATTACAATAATCATGCATATAAATTGATAAGTTAATAAAAAATAATTTACCATTTTTATTATTTTGCGGTGGCTGTTGTTGCGGCTGTTGCGGCTGTGGCTGCTGCTCCTGCATTTGCTGCTGCTGCAGCAAATATTGCAGCTGTTGCTGCAGTTGTTGCTGCATTTCAGCTTGCATTTTTTGTTGATGCAACAATTGTTGCATCAACTGCTGCATGCTGGCTCCTTCGTTTTGCAGCACGAATTGCCGCATTTCTTCATTAATTTCTTCTGCAAAATATAAAATATGTAAATAAAACTTCGATAAATAGATTATTATGTATGATTACAAAGAAGAAAGAAACTGAAACTGAAACTTTCTTAAACTTTTATAACAGATACAAATAATAATAATTTAATTTACTACTTACGAGACATGATACGTTTTATCGCAGCGATGTTCCTCAGTGAACTGAAGCACTCGGCACTTTTTCATTTGTTTCGTACGCCGTGCATTTGTTTCATACGCTGTCTGTTGTTTCACGGCGCTTCTGTGAGATAATCTTGTTGCCTTGCACTCTTGTACTTGCGAGTCAACGTATTTTTTGGTACGTGTCTTGTGAAATCTTGATATCTAAGAAGCCGAATCAATTCTGATTGTGAGTCCCTATTGTTTATTGTTTATCTTTTATTTTACTGTTACGTCCGGTGGACTCCACGATTCTCTTCTTTCACGTAATATTAAACGCCTACGCTCTGGAACTGCTTTGCACTAAAAACAATAAATTAAAGGAATATCTAGCGGGCGAGACTAATATTTCAAAGCCTAAAC